CCATCCATCCCAATTCCCACATCGCTTGGGTACACGGAGGGGGAAGGGAGAACTCCCTATAAAATCCCCCATCCTATAAAGCTTTTTTTTCCTTATTTGTTCAAATATATCTATATATATCATTGAAATATCGAATTTTGATATTTTGACAATATTCAAAATATCGTGGACTATAGTTCCACTCAATAATATAATCTTAAAATTTTAACTATCTTAATTAATTTTGAATATAATATAAACTTGACATATATTATATTATTAGAGATAACAGAAGCAATTTTCACCCCTATTTACCTATTTAAATTAGTGAGTTTTTAGAAATTTTATTTATTTGAGTCCATTAACGAAAATTGAACACAATTCCAATAATTATCTAAGTCTGCAGTTAAACTCTCGATGAAATTGACAGGTTAGAGTTTATATTTTATTGTGGGCAATTTTAACGGCATTATCGTTTACTATATTTTAAAACACATTTTTGCATTATATAGAGCATTATTTATTCACAAATGAGTGGCAAAAGATTAAGAGATGCAAGAAAAAAAAGGGAAAAATGTTAATAATAATTAATTTAAAATTTATTGGTTACATCATGTAAGATGAGTAGGGGATTCCTTTAGGCTTGATCCAAGCGTCACCATCGATGAAGGGTCTCGGGGTGAAATCAACGGCATGTTTCGGTGTGATCTCTTTAATCCCGCGCCACTTCACTCTCTTGCTTTTGTCTGCCCCCGGTCCTGTGTTCTGCAACTCAGCGTAGAACAATGTGTTCAGCCCAAAGTTGCCCATCCACGGTAGCCATCCCTCGGGTTGGATTAGGTCGTCGATTTGAGACTGCATGATGATGGTTCGAGAATATGCCTTCCATGGCCTCCCCAAGTACGCCTTGTTCACGGCTCGGTGCGGGTAGTACGTTGGGTCAGATGTAAAATGACAACCCTGAAACACGAGTGCAGTCGGCTCACGCTTCCCGAGCCGCCCATGAGCCGTCACGATGCACTGCTGGTTGTCCAGTGGCTTTCGGACCACTAGCTTGCAGTTTTGGAAGATGGCGGCTGAGTTTCCAAACACGAAGTCGATGGTGCCAGTGATGACGCAGTCGCGATAGAAATGACGGTGAGTCTGTGCGTACAACGTGTCTTGGTATCCATCCATTCGACAGTTGTAGAAGATCGATCTGTCGGATTGGACTCGCAGCGCCACGGCCTGGTGCTTCGCAGGCCCAGCGCTATTCTCGAAACCCATATCTCTTGCAAAGAAATTGGTACCAATAGTCGCTGCATTTCACAAATTAAATTAATTAATTTTTTTAACGATGATCAGCATATAAATATATCCAGAAAGAAAGGACTTACCGAAGGTGGCGGTCTTGAAAGTTTGAACACCGTCGATGTAGTTGAGGCTACCAGTGACGACGGTTTTGGTGGGGCCATCTCCGTACATGGTGACGTGGGTCATAGCATTCGTAATGACAACAGTTTCCTTATAAATACCGGCCTTGACGTAGATCACAAACGTGACGTTACTCTTTTGGGGAATTTCAACCAAAGCCTCATTAATGGTCTTGTATTTCCCACTTCCGTCCTGCGCTACCACTACGTTGGGCTTAACCGTCACCGGCCCAGCCTGCAACAGTCGCCTATTGGTGTCGCTGACCCATTCTGGGGCGTCGTTTTCGGCCATGAGCCGACGGCCCAATGTGGGAATCTGAAGATTGCCCAAACTGTTGGCCAATTCGGTAACCATGGCTAAACTGTTACTGGTAAGTTGCTGAGACGACTTCAAAAACTGCCTCATTTTCTCGCCCGCTTCGCCGGTGGTGTTCTCGAACCCATCCAAACAAGTGTCCTCGTAGGTCAAGGCACCAGTCAGCCAGATTTTTAAATCGTCAATGAACTCTTTGACTTTGCCCACTTCAAATGTGCCGATTCGTTCGAACGACTCTTTGATGTCGTCGATGGCGTATTCGAGGAGCTCGCGGCAGTTTTGTAAGGCTTGGTTGGCTCGTGGATCTTTGGCCAGCTCTTTCAAAGTCGTGGAGTTTTGAATCGCCGCGTTTATGTGATTCGTGGCTATTTTGAACGCCGACTTGATCAACTCTTTCGGGTCCGTCGCGGTTACGCCCTCCGTCGCAAGGCTTTCTTCGCAAACGTCTTTGTAATCAGTGGGTTGGCAGATGGATTTGATTGATTTTGTCGACGTTGTAATTTGGTGGCCATCGTCGGACTCCGTATCGTGACCGTCATCGTGATCGACGTCGTGAGGGTTACTGACACCGACGGCAACAGCCACCACCATCGCCACCAAGATCAGAGCGGAGACGCTCACGACTGCAATTTTCTTCTTTTTCTGGTCACCAGCATCGCCGGACATAATTGGATGCTAAATAAACAACTTATTAAATGAAAAAAAGGAAGTAATATATATATATATATATATATATATATATATATATATATATTTTATTTTTCTTCATTTTTTTTTCTTTTCTGAAACAGCAGAGCTGCTGGGGCTTCTCGGTAGATATAAGATTGGTTTGCCCCTTGGGCTCTGGTTTGAAGAGAGTGTGGGAATGAGGTGAATTTATAGTGGGGAAGGGAGGGGTAAAAATGGAAAATATTTTGAATGACAGTCGTTTCTATTACAAAATGGGAGGTCCAACTTTTTTTTCTCCACCCATAGGCTAAATTTGTGGGATTTAAGGTTTGGTTCCATTTTTGGTCGATTTCTTCCCTCGGCTATCCGAACTAAAATGACCAATGAAATTTCTTTACCCTTTTGATTAGTTAAACCCAATAAAAGAAAACTCATTCAAATATTTTTATAAATTATCAAAATGTTACGAAAAGTTTGCTTCACTCCAATAATTGGAGGCAAATTATCACCTCAATTATCATGATTATTCAGATATAAAGATTCAGGTGAACAAGTTTATGCAACTCAACTTGTCGAGCTGAGCCATATCTTATGTAGCTGGTTTTTTTTTTAAGGTACAAACCAGTCGTGAAGAGCATCTATCAGTGCGAAGATAACAGACATGTTCTTTGACAAGACACCCCAATCATAGGTGGTTAGAAAGTAGTTAGAATGCTATTAGAAGTCCCGTAGGGAGTTTGACTTTATGAATAGAGAACCTCGCCTCTAACTCAAGGTACGAGAAATAATATTCTCTTTGAGTATTGATTGGATTGTGTACTGACTTGTACGTAGGAGTGTTAACTCTGTTTTGCATGTCCTTCATACAACGGTGTACTAATCCGAACTGAACTTAATTATTTTGTGATCAAACACTTTTTTTTCTCTTTATAGAAATATTTACAAATATATATATCGAAATATTTTTATGTGAAAATGAGATCTTTTCAATTATATAACATTTAATTATTTTATTTTCAAATCGTTTATTTTCATGATTTATCTCTTCCTTAATTACTATAGCAACGATAGAATCTATATTTTGAGATATATGTCAATTGCCATTAAAATTAGGTTCGTTTTTGGCCTATTAAATATTTTTATTAAGTGCTAAATCTTGTCATTTAATAATTATTGTTTTGTACTTTAGTTGCATATATTTGAAATGTTTCCACATTTCCAAATTTCACAAAATCTCCATTTTCACGAACCATTCTTGAAATTCTCTTCAGCAGCATTTTTGTTCAAGCTCCATCTTTCTGGCGTCATTTTACTTCTCTTTTTCAATTATTTTAGCAACATTATGCACGTGTATCTGTGTATGGATCTCGAAAAATATAATATATGACATTGAATCTTGATTCATAATTCTGATTAATTTTAATGTTCATATTAGTTTTAGCGAGAGTTTATGATTTGTTTCACCAAATAAGTTAAATATCATATTTTGGCACTGAATTTTAATTTTCAATTTTTTTGCGTAAAATAATCAAAATAATAACTTTGGCAAGAAATCTTGATTTTCAACTTGTTCCTTTCGCCAAATAGTGACTAAGAGATAATTTGGTCCCGGCGTGCATCTAGTTTGGTGTTCTAAATAATCACTATTGACCACTATTATAAGGAGACGTGCTACTCTATTAATTTATCTAAAGTCCTAACTGTGAACTAATAAACTTACGTATCGATGTTAGTCTTAACAATCAAAACAGTACAACCAAAACCAATAATCAACAATCGATCATTCGTGTTAGAAGAAAGACTATATGGGTGGAGAATTTGAAAAATGGTGGTAAACAACCTTTCTCTTTCATAAATAGTTTCTTGTAGTATAGAGCTTCCGTTTTTGTAGTATAAAGCTTTCCATTGCAGCAATGAAGTATTGTGCCTATCCACGACGACTCCAATGACTAGCTCGAGTTTAATTCAAGTTTTGATTCGTGTTTACCTAGTCTTTGAGCGCAACCAGAGCTCTTCCCAAGATGGTTGGTGTCAAGCACCAAATCTAAAATTATACCCAAAGCTTGTGTAGAATTTTGCCAACAAATCTCCAAGGACGACACAGCTTCCCAAGTCACTCAATAAAAGGAGGAGCCAAAACCATTCAAAAGGTATACAATCTATGTCACCCACTGCACAAACCAACTACACAAGCTCTCAAGGGCGGATCCAGGGAGGGTGACCCTCGATTTTAAATTAAATACTATGTTGTTGTCGATTTTGTCTAAATCATATCAATTATTTTTATACCAAATTTAAATCTGTAAAATTTGTGACATATGTTTCCAATCTTGCAAGTTTCCTTCTAGCTCACAGAATTGATACTAATCAACTCAAGCTTTCGAGGGCAAACAAAAGAATAAATTCATAGGTAAGAAAATTTCGGCATACGTATTATATATTTTACTAAGCCTTGTCGAAGAATGTAAATAAGGTAGGTGGATGAACCTTCTGCCTTTAATTCTTTTTCTATTTGTTTAGTTTGAACATTTTGACATTTTGGTTGATTATATATATCTTCACCGTAAAATTATATGAAATTACCTCCATTTATTAATAAACTTTTTAATGTATTATACATTTTAGCAAGGCCTGTTGAAGAATAAGTTGATAGTGTGTTAGTTCAATGAACGAAGTGGGATGAACCTTCAGTCATTTCCTTTATCCTTTATTTTCTTAGTTCAATGTGAAGATTCATTTTTACACATCTTTTTTATTATTATAATTATTATTATTATTTTGACGACCACGTCATGGTCTGATTCTGATTCAACATTAGTTTAATTTGATATATTTATCAAAATCAATCATAGGGTAAGAAAAGTGGAATGAACCTTCAGCCTTTTCTTTTTATCCTTTTTTTCTTAGTTCAATGCGATTCATTTTTACACATGTTTTATTATTATTATTATTTTGACAACCAAATATAGTCTGATTCAACATTAGTTTAATTTGATATATTTGTCAAAATCAACCAGAAGGTAAGAAATAATAATTATTACCTTTTCTTTGACTTTGACTTGTACGATATTATTTATCCACTTATTTTAAAATATGGTCGTAGCTTCTCAACCCTATTTATAGGGTCAAAATTTATTGTAGCATCTCACCCCTATTTATAGGGTCAAAATTTATTGTACTGGAGTGCGGCTTCGTTCTAACATCATATTAGATGAGTAGGGAATTCCCTTGTCCTTGATCCAAGCATCGCCGTCGATGAAGGGTTTGGGGGTGAAAGCAAGGATTTGTTGTGGTGTGATCTCCTTAATACCGGCCCAACTAACTCTCTTGCTCTTGTCCGCCCCCGGTCCAGTGTTCTGAAACTCAACGTAGAACAATGTGTCGAGCCCAAAGGTGCCCATCCATGGCAACCATCCCTCGGGTTGGATGAGGTCGTCGATTTGAGACTGCATGATGATGGTGCGAGAATATGCCTTCCATGGCCTCCCCAAGTAGGCCTTGTTCACAGCTCTAT